AAATAATGTAAAAATCCAACGATTCCTTACACAAAAATCTTAAGGCCGGATTTTACTGCTAATTAAAGATCATGCGAATTTTAAAAAAATACTCCTGAGATACAAATCCAGAGCATAATCAGGATGATGGTGAAATAGCTTTGCGGTGTAGAATAATATGGCGGCCAGTGGCAACTTGGAACACTGATTCAAGAGCCTCCAAAGGACCTAATGAAGGAGATGCGACGTCAGAGCACTAATTCACCACACTTTTACCAGTTTCATCGATATCGACTATGATCCTTAACTAAAACCGCAAATTAATAGTCTGAGAGAGAGAGCGTTTCTTGAGGGTCCGTGAATATCATGACCCTAGGGAGAATTTCGCACATAAAGCCGAATTGCAAGGCCACTTGGGAGAAAGCCGGTGCTAAAAAGATAATGGGTCGGAAGAAAATAAGCATGCTTAAGGAGAATAAGGTGGATTTTGTCTGCGCGACTGACCTGCTTGTAAGAAATTCGCGCCACACTTCTTCACAGTCAGCCCGCGTTCGTCGCACCATTGCCAGTCGTGGATTGGCCGGCCGGCCTGCCAGTCTGCCTGGGTCATTCAAGCATACAAATAGTTCTCCATCTAGCTGGTCAAAAAGATCGTCCATAGAGAAGAGGTAGTCGTCATCAGCGTCGCCAATGACACCGACATTAGCGACCATCTTAGGTTCTTCTAGGAGGCAATGACCGACGACTGGCAGAGATAAAGTCTGCTCTCCAATTGCTATACGTTGGCCAGGAGAGATGAGATGTTCAAGATTGGAGATGAATTTTGGAGATGACTGTAAAAACTGACCTAATCCGTCGGCCGATCTAACCTCATTGGTAGCAAGATATTGGGCGTCTGGTGGACACGGTTTACAAGTGGCTTTAGATTGAGAGGATGAATCGACAGGCAGAGAAGTCTCATCAAGACCCAGTAGCTTGAAAGAAGAGAAATTAACAAATACAGGTTTCATAAAAAAAAGATACATTTGGTGGTGATTGTGAAAGCATAAGAGAAAGGAAAAGCATAAAGCATGGGGGACTTGTAAAGATGTCTATCCAAAATCGGCTAAAGTGAAAGATAGAGAAATTGCAATTAATTTAGTCATAGTAGTATGGCCAATTAGCTGAATACAGTTAAGAGAAACACACTTAAAAAATACATTCACATACAAAGAGATATATTAAGAATGCAGAATATAAATCGTATTCCGATTCTGAAATAAGCTTCAAATAATTTGAATATGTACCCTAAACGTAAGAAAAATTTGATTAGCCCGATTTCATGTGTAATTAGGGCAGAAAAAAATTAATCTAAGTAAAAACTCTGAAGACAACCTGCAGAGTAGTTAATACGATATGAAAAATTATGTCTGAAAAAATGTGCTTGAAATTAGGCTCTCTTGAAATCACAGTTTGCCTAGACAGGACACTAAATGACGCAACATGGTCCTTTTTCGTATATCCACAAATAGTTCTAAACTCTGGCCCATACTGAAGCAAATTGTCAGCTATTTTAACATTAGCATCTTGGTCCGATAATAAATGGCGCGTGATCATGGCTTATTGTATTGATAGAACCATCAGTTGGCAGTAAAATATTGAAAGCATTTTTTGTTGCCTTGTCCTTTAGCAAACATAATAACATAAATCTGACATAGGTTCTAAGACTTTGTTTACATCGAAGTAAACAAAGCCGGATTACAATTATTAAATCAACGAAATAGTATGTCACATGAGGCTAAAATATGCGTATATATATATATATATATGGGACAGAAAGTGAGAAAAGAAAGTGGAGCAAGAAAATAGATAAATGAGAGTGTGGGTGACGCAATAGGACGCGAAATAGGTAAAAATTTCGGAAAAAGACTGGGATAATGGCAACTATGAAAAGTATGACAGAATCAGCCTCTGCAATAAGTAAGCCTATAGTCGATTATAATAATCGTGGATGGGATAATAAAAGGTAAATTTTACCCTTAATGAATGAAAATCTGTATGCAAAAGTGGAGGACGGAGTAAATAACGATCAAATGAAGTTTCAACAAGCGATTACAATATAACCAGAGATATAAAAGATCAGCACAAGTCAAGGATAGATTAAAAGGGAGAAAATGAAGAGGAAATTCCAGCCAAGTTTGGGGAAAACAAGCAGAACAGTAAACATTGCCTGGTGATCCAATTTAAATAGTTAGTCAAATAAGCAAATAAATTTATAGAATAAGAAAGCCGATTTTGAATCCGCAGAAATAGCGAGAATAGACAAGAGAATTGTAATGTCCACGAAATACAGAAAACGCTTGTTGAGAATGGAATTTAGTCATCATAGTAATCACATCCTTAAATACATTGTATAACACAATTTCCTCTGAAAACAGAACTGTTAAACAGTCATAACTAGTAGGCTGAAGGCAGATAACAAAACAAAAAAATGATTTCATATGCGAAGAAAAGTTGGGTTTCGATTAATCTCTTTTATCTTAATTGCTGAGCTCACTTCCGTTTTGAGTGAAAGTCTTTGATGAATAGATTCGAAGGTCGATCTCATCAGAAGACGACGGCGAAGTCCTCTTGGCCAGTTCTTGATTAGCTTTACTGGAACATTCTCGTTGAGGCTGTCTCAGAGGCAAGCTCCTTCGATTCCGTTGAAAACACGCTAAACTTAAGTCCGTAGTATGACGACCATCATTAAAGCGGGGTATCATCCCTACAGCTAGCGAGTCAAGAGAACTTGGCAAAGTTAAATTTTCTGTCACAGCGAACAGAATGGTTTGATAGAATATTCAAAAGGACTTTCATTAGTGACATAGTAAACTATCTAATTAAGTGGATGCTTGTGTATGCTAGAGCAATATAGTCGATTAGGCAGAGCTCCAGAGCTAGGCCGACTCGTGATCGCTGCGGTTTATTTCCACAATATTTAGCAATGCCTTTCCAGGTAAAATGTTAGACAACTTAAGCTATCTTATCATCAATTTCCTGTCTAAATACCAATTTTTTGCCAAATAAATTTCAGCCACAGCCGCTTCACAAGGATCCGCCTTCCCAGTACTTTTGAGATCAGGACTTTACCAAGTGGAAATTCATCATCATTCAAAAACTGTTATGAATCTATCGATGCAATGAGCAATTATTAAATAGAAGACTTGTTTTATCAAGGAACTTGACTGTACCACTATTCCTAAAAATTGGTTGCCATCCAGGATGGACTTTTCCTGCATCTTATAATGACCACCAGGAAGCCTTTTTATTCAATTTTAGTGTATAAAACACCGAAAAACCAACGCTTCGGCCCTGAATGCATGAATTCGCCATATTTACACTAATACTCGATGCTTTCTTACAATATAAAATGCCAATGAGACTCGGAAAAACCGGATTACATTAACTAGTATTTCATATGGGTAAATATCAGTCAAACGGCAAATCGCTTGGATCCGAAAGTCTTTTCATTTCTTCTGCTTTCAGCAATGCCTTAGGTAGACCCCAATA